AGACGTTTCCATTGAATTTCACATATCCTTGCTTTCACAAAAGTTTTTCTTATCCAGGGTGGACTGCCTTTTCGACCTTGCATCGGTCTTATCAACACCCTCACCGGGGGTCGAACCGCGACAATGCAGGATGGGAGCTTGACACGCTTACCAGTCAGCTACACTGGCACCAGTGCCTTTGGGTCACAGGGAAAATGTGAATTTTCAAGGAAGGCCAGCCCTTTTGCCATATTATATTCTTTGGTGGGATTGTCGATGAAGTAAACGTATTTTTTGCTATAACAGTCGACTACTATACTTTATTTTTCGAATTAAGTATTGTTTTCGTGACTACCAGTAAATCAGTAATAATATGGTAGTCCGGACAACAATACTTAATTCGAAAAATAAGGTATAGTAGTCGATTGTTATAGCAAGACATACGTTTGCTTCATCGACAATACCACCAAAGAATATGATATAGCAAAAGGCCTGGCCTTCCTTAAAATTCACATTTGCCCTGTGACCCAAAAGGCGCTCGTGGCAGTGCAGCCGATTGGTTAGCGTGTCAAACTCCCATCCTGCATTGTCGCGATTCGACTCCCGCCGAGGGCGTTGATAAGACCTATATGAGGTCGAAACTGCAGTCCACCCTGGATGAGAAGAACTTTTGGGAAAGCAATGCTATGTGAAATTCAATGGAAACGTCAGCTGGAAAATTCTTCTTCTACCAGTCCTTCAATACCTTGAACGAAATTGGGTGAATACATCTTATATTACTGATTTACTGGTAGTCACGATAACAATACTTAATTCGAAATATCAACTATATATAGTTGGCATTGCCTCATTTTAGCAAATTGGTCGAGGCAACAAGCCGACCTCGTGGAATTTACCCAATCTTGCTTCCTCTGCGCGAGTAGTCTTGGAGTGTGCCAAACCTGGCAACCAATTAAGATTGTAGAAGTTGAAATCATTGTTCCACCCTAGTGCTAGAAATGGGGGTTTGAAGGTTTGGCTATTACTGGAAAGTGAACTATGAAACCGCCTCGGGAGACATAATGAGAGAAGTTTGATGCAAATGGGAAGGGTGATGATGATAAAGATGGTGATGAGAAAGGTGGTGTGATACATGCAGACAAGAACGTTGGTAAAGCAGACCGAGGAAGGTGTGGTGACGATGCCGTTGTAGGAAGGCCGAAATTATGAGTAAACTAATGTTGAAGATAGCCACACAAGATAGTTGAAAGATGGAGCCCTCATGGCGAAGCAGTTGACAGCGGGACGCCAAGGGATAGGGAGTAGTTAAAAATATCACGTTCCGAGACCACCACCAGATAAATCGGCCAGACGGTGGGGAATTTGGGCACACAAGCTTTTCCTCGTGCATTGCTTTCGAGACCAGACACCGAGAAATAAGCAACTGGGCTACACAGTCTCCGGGACCCAATTGGAGTTGGTCTGATGACAAGTTTTGGCAATCAGGACTGCCAAGATTGAACCTGTAAAGACAAGGTCCCAGTCGAGACCGAGTCGGGAAATGTGTGGACAAGGAAAATTGCGGCAAAACGTGCTTAAGCACAAACCCATGCACATAAGAACTACGGCCACTTACTAAACTAACGCGGATGCCCATGAAAGATGGTGACCACTTGGGCGTATGATTGTCTGGTGAAACGACACTCCAAAAGTAGACAATGGCCAGCACACAGACAAAGCATGTTCGGGCCTAGCCTAGACCCGTAGAGTGGACAGAGTAGCCGGCCTAGAATAGAGTAAAGGCAACCGTTACCAAGGCCGCCAGGGCTTTGGCCATCGGCATGCGTAGACAACAGAGGTACAGTCTTCAAATGGGTCGTGAACTCGCTGAATACATGATCAGATGAATTAGTCTACAAACGTATGCCTCTGCACCTTAGCTCTCCTGGAGTTCGAGGCTAGCAACTATTGAAATAATATCCAGGGCACAGTGTCCATGGGACAGAGTTGGTGCACAAATGGTCTTGGAAACACTGGTATCGATCGAAAAACAGACTCCACTTGACACCACTTGACACCAAACAATCAATGGACAATGGGATGTATTCACTCTATTTCGTGAAGGTGATGGAAGACTGGTAGTTGAATTTTCCCACAATAATAAGAGTAGGCCTTACGTTGCCATTGAAGTTGACATAGCCTTGTGGAAAAATTCAACGATCACTTTAAACGAAATAGGGTGAAGTTTACTCATATATATGATCTACTGGAGGTCTAGAAAAGCTGCTTATTAAAAACTAAAAATAAAGTAATGTAGTCGACTGCTATAGCAAATGCAACTTTGCCTCAGCGACAACCCCACCAGAAAATGTGATATTGGAAAATGCCTCGCCTTCCTTGAAATTCGCATCTGCCCTGTGGCCCAAAGGCACTCGTGACAGTGAGGCGAAGTGGTCAACGTCTCTAGACTATACAATATGTGAAGTTACATGGAAACGTGAAGTCTGCTCATACGATTGTGGGATGATTCAACCCAGTCCTTCACACCTTGACGAAATAGGTTGAATATATCTCATAGATATGATCTGCTGGTAGTCTCGAAAAGCCAATGGGCAATCCGAATCAAGATGATTCATACTTATAGTAACCATTATGAAGAGGGATATGAATATATCTGAGTTATTAGGACTCTTGCCAAACATCGCCTGCTGGTAGAAAAATACTAACAAGCCGTCATTTTTGGCCTGAGACACATTCGCTCTGTACAGGTCCGGGAAAAGATTATCGCATTTAAACTTCCATCCTAAAAGAGCCTCACTAGGACTTTCGTTTGGCTATTTTATCAGAGAGGTATCTGCTTTGTTGAGGGTATGAAGCTCGTTTTTATCATGCCACAGTTGATCACAATGATAGAGAAGATAGGCACTCTTTGACATAAATCCTTCGTGCCAAAGGACAGAAGGTTTACTTCAAAATGTTTTCAATCTCCTCCCTTACAATTCCATTGAAAGTGTGTTATGAAAGGCCTAGAAGGTGGACCCCATAGAAAGACGATGATGAATTCCCCTTTGCCAATGCTCATTTGGACTTGCTTCTTAAACTTGGCCATCTCCCTTTTTTCGTGTCCTGTCTTGGTTGCGATGGGCAATTAAATAATTCTATTGAC